GATGGACTGATCACCAGAAACACAAACCAACGAAGAAGTTCTCTTCGGTTTTCGGGAAGCAATTGAATGCCAAACCTCTTGAAGTGATGACAAATTCGGGTAAACTCTGCCATTCGGTCGACATCGGTGTGAATCGTATCCATTTTGACCACAATATCATTGAGACAGACATCTGATCCGTCAAACAATTGGTGTCTTTTAGTGGCAAACGATTTGTCAGATTTGATGCACAGATAGAGACGAAGCAGAAGAATCTCTTGGGATGTGAACAGATCCCTATCAAAGAGCTTATGTCCGACGACTTTGCACTCATTCTTGTGGTACTTCCAGTCCATTGTCTGGCAATTTCTATCGCAATAATACATTTGATGGCATTTCGCGCACTTCTTCAGCTGATCCACTCGTTTGAGACAATTGTCGCAAAATATTGCTTTGAATTCATTGCAAATGATATGAACTAATGGTTTGGTGGCGACGACCACATCGCCCGCAGTCATGGCATGGGATCTATTGGTCACCATATCTGCAGTCAATTCAATGCACTTTCGTTTGACTTTTGATTTTTGTGCCAAACCTTCAAATAAAACATGATTTGCATTGCAGTCAGAGTCAGACATCTATTATGTGTACTTTGCATACATTTCCAGTTTACTGTATTTGAGTATGAAATATGAAGTATAATATTTTAATTAAATTAATTAAATTGTAATGAATGCCAGTTCATAATCATTTGAATACAATTAGGAAATTATAAATATAATTAATTATAAATTAATCACAAAATGCATACCAATTGTCATAATTTGGAGACATCTTTGATGGCTGTAATGGTTCACAAGTTTTATGAAAATGAGTCCAACTTTTGATTCAAAAGTGAGTCACTATTAGAGAGACAAAAGCTTTTGTCACCAAAATTATCACAAAAACTGGTCAAAGATCTGATGATATCTCCCGAAGACTGCGACCAATGCCGTCGATATCAACGAAACCATTGACTGCTGGAGACGTTGTCTTCAAATGCAAACCATTACTGCATTGCACTATACCCTCGCATAAGGGAAAGGTTTGTGACAATTGTCTCAAACGAGTTGTTGGCGACAATCACATCAGAGTTGTCTTAGAGCTGAAGAAGTGCGCGAAATGTCGTCAAATGTATTATTGCGGAAAAGATTGTCAGACAATGGACTGGAAGTACCACAAGAAGGAGTGCAAAGTCTTTAGACACCAAGACTTTAAGGAATCTAATGATTACCTATTCCTTCGGCTCTATCTGTGCATCAAATCTGATCCAACGTTTGCCACCAAAAGACACCAATTATTTGACGGATCGGATGTCTGTCTCAATGACATGAAAGTCTCGGATGAGTTCATTGCAAACATATCAACGACCGATAAATGGATGAAACAGTTGCACATAATTTGCAAAACCTGTGAAAGCGTTGGCATTGAATATGACTTCAAAGAACTTCTTCAATGGTTTGCATTCGTGCTGAAGAACTCCTTTGACATCCATTCATATGTCGGCGATATTCCTCGACTTCTCACTTATGTCACACTCGTGTCAACCAAACACCGCTTATGTACTAAAAGGTAATGCATTTATAGTATTATTGTTTCAATCAATTGATGGTTAATGTGATGAACAGGCGATTCGGTGGAAGTGGGGGCCATGAGATCGATAGCACCGGGAGATGAGATCACTATGAGTTACGTGAGTCTGGATGGGAATCGTACGGAACGTCTCAAGAATTTGAAGGAACGGTACTCTATTGACTGTCACTGCGGTCGGTGTGAACACCATTTGGACAGACATGTCGATTACGAGCGCTGCAATACACTCATCCAACAAAGCGTTAGTAATATGTGGAGTGAG